GATTTTATATATATATATATATATATATATATATATATATATATATATATATATATATATATATGTGTGTGTGTGTGTGTGTGTGTGTGTGTGTCGGCCCGTGGTCGAGCTGACTCCCCAAAATTGGGCTCGGCTTGAGACTTGGCTTGGTGTCTCCGAGCCTCGAGTCGAGCACGGACTGCCCAAGCCGCGAGCCCGATTACCGTCCTAGGTTAGACCGACAGAGTTGCAAACAAGCTTGAGTTGTCCACTTACAGGTTTCGGCCAGCTCGATTTTCATTGCAAACCAAGCCCAATCTACCACCCATCTAGGCCCATCACAAGGTGTAATAGCAATTATCACAAGATTTTAGAATTGCCCCCATTTAACCAAGTGCTTGTTTGGGAAGTGTTCATAAATGGATTTGTATAGATAGAAAAGAGTGGTTGATATTAAGTAGTACTTATGGATCCCATGAAATCTATAATTGAAAATTTATTTGAACTTTTTTTGAACGTTTATAAATAGTTCATAAACACTTGCCAAATATATGCCCTTTTTTTCGAAAAATATCTTTGTAAATAGTCTTTTTTTTTTATTTGGAGAATATATGGTTTAAAAAATAGAGAAAATTTTTGGATTTACGTGTATAATATTTTATTGTATGAATGTGTGATTGAAAATGAGTATTTAAAAAAATAAAATAAAAAATGGAGTTTTGAAAGAATGGGAGACAAACAACTGCCAAGTAAAATCGTAGAATGGTTCCAACATACCTTGGATGTTCTTGAGAAGCTGTTCCTCTAATATATACGTTTTCTCAAGGGTCTTTCCAATCTTACTCTCCCACAGTGAAACGAGCTCATCGAAGGACAGTGCATTAGCAGGAGGGATAATGTGAAGGATCTTATTCAAGGTCCTTGGATCATCAACAGCTTTGATAGTATACGTCGCTATATCTTCTTCCTTGACAAAAATCGCTTGTAATGGAAAACACAAGATTTGAGTCATATAATAGATGAAAAATAGTTTCTACATCTTTTGAAGTTACATTTTAGTTGTTTTCAGTAGACATAGCAACAAATCGAAAGTGATTAAAAATAATTCATTTAGTCGACTCTAAATTTAGTTTGAAGATTTAAATGCTTAGTGTAATGGATTACCTTTACGATTCCCATCCCCTAAAATAACAACTTTCTCTCTAGGAGGAGCTTTGGCATCTAACTGTCCTACTGTAGGCAGGAAGTAGCCAGCAAAGCCATTAGAAACTACATAAGTATATGGGATTTTTTCTGATTCGATGATCCTCCGGATTTTAACTTTCTCTCTAAACAGGCTTGCTGCTGGCTCGACTGCCTTCATGCTATCCCCGTCACTTGCAAATTCCGAGGGCAGAAATCTCTGAAAACGAACCTTTTTTTACATTTGGGTAACAGAATATTACAAGACTTGAGAAAAATCGAAAAATTACAATTGCTTGCCTTGATAGTACCAACTTCTTTGATGGCTGCAATAATCTTCACCTGATCAGCAATTGTAGTTGTTCCAACAGCAGATATCACGACATCGACCTGTTTGATCGCGCTGACTAAGCTTTCGTGATTATAGATATCTCCCTGTAATTTCATCAAGAACAAACAAAAAGTATAACAATGAACCACAGTTGATCGATATTCGAATTAGTATCCGAATAATTACTTACATATATTATTGAAACGCCCAAGTTCTTGAAATTCTGTATGACTTCTGATTTTTTTGGATCTGAAGCTGTGGTTTCTCTAACCAAAACAAAGGTTGGATGTCCATGTTTTGAACTTGCCTCCACAATAAATTTTCCAATGTAACCAGTTGCTCCGATTATCAGAATCTTGCTTTTCTCTGCCATCTTGGAATGTTATTTTCTGGAAAAAAGTAGTGAAGAACAATGACCGATTGACTAGTAGATATTTAAACCAATAACAAGCTTGTGGTTTTTATACAAATCAAAGAGTGGCATTTTTTAAGTCCCATCGTCTAAAAGATTAAGCTATTATTGTATTTATTTCAATTGTCTTTATCATGTGACGGTATGAACTTTAAATAAAGTCTAGGCACGTTTATTCATTTAAAGTTTGCATTCAATGTATGGATGACAATAGGATGGGACCACGGTGGCCCTCCTAGTATGCCAACCCCATCAAGGATTTCAAGGGGCTAGGCAGGGATGTGTGGCACGGTCCGGACAACATCGGAACTAAAGTATCTCTATTTATTTATTTATTTATTTTTGTTATTTTTAAATACAATTTAAATATTAAAATAAAATAAGATGGGAACAAGTTTGAAGCAAGAACCATATTCTCCGTCCTGTTTCCTCAATAAAGCATGGTAAAGCGAGATGGGACAAAGCATTTTTGCATCGTGATCATTACTTCAATGGCATTATCTAAACTCTATTCACTTTCTTTTGGTCAATAATTGCGGTTTGGTTTAAACTGTTTGTACAGTAGTAGTTTAACAGAACTACTACAGAATGCAGGTGTGACAGAATTTGCTTTCATCTATCTAGTTTCTTTTTTCCACTTTTTGTCAGATTGCTGACACTTTGCTTCTGGTACAATTTTGGTAAGCAATTTTCTATACGTGTAGAGTTGCTCGGTTTGGTTTACATCCCCAGTACACTGATACTCGTTCAATCCTTGAATAATAAATTCAAGTCATATGATCCTTTCTTTAGTCAGAAAAACTATTCAAATTGTCCCGTTTGCTACTCATTTTTATAAGAATGAAAATAAAAAATATAGTCGTTACGGAACTCACACAAAAGATAGAAATTCAAATATGATGACTTGATAGATAGATAAGGATCATATTTTTTATTTTTGTGGCCAAAGAATGTGAATCAAATGGGAGTTTGTTAAAATGTCCCACTTTCCATGGATTGTCATTAAACAGAAGAAAATGACTGCTTAAAAAAAAAAAAAATAATAAAATAAAATAAAATAAAAAAGAAAAAAACTTCAGTCCAATAGATGAACGTCTTTGAGTTTATTAATCTGCCATTATTCTTTGAACAAGTTCACTTCAATCCGTCTAGATACAAAACATGGTCAAGAAATATATGTATGATTCTGATTGTATATTTTACTTTTGATTTGAAGACTTTTGGAGCCTATAATTTTTTGAAATGACGAGTTCAAATCAAATAATTGAGGATGAATGACCTCATTTATCATTTATATATATCATTTGTAATAAAAAAAATTATTCTTTTTGCAATTTCGTTGAATCTACTTATTTTAATTGTTTAAATAAAGAAAGCTATACAAGTTGTAGAAAAAATGTTAATTTGAAGAACGTTAACTCGGGTCATACGTAGTAGTGTATAATGAGGACGGCCGAGAGGCCCAGTATTGATCTCGATGGCTTTGTGCAAAATGAGGAGAGCTCATGTCATAATCAGTCTATAGTTTCTCAACTAAGTACTTAATTGGGAAAATCTAATGAGATTATCATGAAGATGAGTAATGGATCCCGTGTGAAATATATGGATAGTAATTCTAAATGTATTATTAAAATTAATGTTTGAGTTTAACTTTAAACTATAATATGATCATAATGAAAACCATAGAAGCTCTAAGGCATGCATCGAGCCTTGGGCAAACCCGCAAACCATATTACACTCCAAACATGGGTGGCGTGAGCCATCTTACACATCGGTTATTCCCATGTCATGAAGAGTTGCATTTAGTATTGTCAATCAATTTCTGGTTCAGAAAATTCTTATGTGTGAAAATTATATTTGAAGTCTCAAGCAAATGTGAAATTTAGTAAATAGGTTTCTAACTATTTTTGTTGCATATAAGCCCCTCATTTTTATTTTTGTTGTATTTGGCTCTCAACACTTTTTCTATCTCCTTGACGATGCCATAGTTATTGAGCCAGATATAAACTAAACACTCTAGGGCTTAACGTGGAGCTCAAATTATATAATCCTACCTCAATGATAACACAAATCTATCATCTTCTTGTTAATTCCAAAGGCAACGCAAGGATTGAGATTAATGACGTTTTATGAAATATGTAACAAGATCACAAAGTTGAAACAATATTTAAAGTAAAAAAATCAAAGAGAGTTACGAAGTGGAAACGATATTTTATTATAACAATATGGAGAAAATGGCATTATGACACATTGCTCAATTAATTTCCTAGTTTAAATCAGCGACGATCCATATGCTTATGCTTGTTTTGAAAGATAAGACTATGTAGTACTTGATAGTATTCTATTATTGTATTTCTGCGCTTAATATCAACCCAAAAATTCTTCACAAACTTATGTGTAATGAACTTTAATACAGTTCCCCAACATTTCATTTTTCGTAGAATGCAGTCTCGATTGGAAGTTTTCTAATTTGTTTGATGAGGCAACCTCGATACGAAACAAAACTATTGGGGCCAAATAGTAGACCTCCAATTATTTGATCATGCCTTAGGGACGCCGGGTCGTATTCAAGTGTTTTCAATTTTTTGAGAGTTTGACTTGGTATTATCCAATTAAATTAGGTGTGTAATTGTCTATTCCACGTAGAATGTGATTTGCAAAATATGTTATTATGTGAATGTGTGATAGAAAATAAGTGTCACAACTGAAAATTTTTGTTTTATAGCGAGACAAACTGAGGCTGAGCTCCGTGACTACGTCTATTTAATAATTAAATTATGATTAGAAAGAGAATTAAAGTTTTGAAAATAAAATTAAAAAAAGGTTTTGGGTACGCCATTATTGCATAAATACAAGCCAAAATAAAAAGGACAAGAGAAAAGGAAAAAGAAAAAAAAATAATAGAGTAGCCGCATCATGATGATTGGGGGAAGGAATTCACATCTACAGATTGCATTAAAAAAATAATAATAAATAAATAAATTATATCCGTCCAACAATTCTTCGTTGTTAATTCTTTTTGAGTAGTTTTTAAAAGAAACTAGAATACCTTAAGCTTGTATCCCTTTTAAGTCTTCAGCTTAGTATTTTATTTATCTTAATTTTTAAGATTGTCATAGACTATCTTGAGGTGAGACTTAGTGTTTTATTTTGAATTGTGCTTCAGGTATAGGGTGTGTGAAAGGTTCAAGTCGAATATCTCTCTTTTAATAGTTCATGATTTTTATTCAATGTGAAAGTTTTTCACGTAAAAATTTTTGTCGCTATTTTTTTCATACATTTATAATATTTAACTCTCAAAGAAATTTTTGAACAAGGATCCTAGGAGAAAATCGAGGATTTTGTCTCAATTTCCAACCCACACTAAAAAGCAAAAATCTCATTGGAACTCATAAACAGCATTATTGATTGGTAACTCAAATAATATCCTAATTTACAAAACTTAGTGACACTGAAGGTTGAATGGCTGGTTTAGGAAGATAAACATATAAAGCTTGATAAGATTAGAAAAAACTAAATTCTCTCTCTCTCTTCCTTTTTCGTTTTTTTTTTGGACAACGTGCTTAACGAACATTGGGCGAGAAAGTTCTTATTGGAAAAAACTACTACGACGGTCTCAAACAAATGAAAATTGTATGGCAATTCCGTAGCCTTTTTTCCTCGCATATAGACCCCTTATATTTTATTTTTGTAGCACTTGGATACACAATGAACATATCTCGATCTCCTTGACAAGGATATATGTATAGAGCGTGACAGTAGAATTCGAAATATTTGATCCTACCTTGTTTATAGCACAGATCTACCCTTTCCTACTTGACTTAGTTTTGATTAATGGGTTTTCGAGGCTTCCTAACCAGAATGTAGAAACCATATAAAATAGCATATAATATATTCATCTCAACTGGTTTCCTACTTCATACATCTTAACCAAGAAGAATTTATTTATGATTTGTTTAGATAAGTGGAATACGTCATAACTGATAATACTAATATAAGATATAGAAGTTATTGTCAGAAGAAACAACGGATACCAGCTTGCTTTAATATCAATTTGTTGAAACTTAATTGAGAATATGGCAATATGAAAAATAATGACAAGAACACAAGATTTACATAAAAACACAACTAGGGAAAAAACTACGGTAGAAGAGAAGAATTCACTAATACCAAATATGGAGGATTACAAATTGTGTAATATCAATCTCCCAAGTACTCCTATATATATAACACAAGAAGAGTCTAACAAATTGTCGAGTCTTAATATAATAGGCCTAACAAATAATGGATTTTCGGAAGTTGAATAGGAATCCAAAAATTGCTAAAATCACAATTAGAATTCTGGCCAATAACATGACCACTCGAGCAACGGTCTCACAATTAGCAAGCAATCAATCCATTGCTCGATCACTAACCAGGCAATTAGCGAGCCATGGAGTTAATGAAATACTTGAGAATCTCCTACATGGTTAGCGAGCGTTTTTCCGTCAAATTATTCTCCCTGTCATCTTTCACTTCTTCAAAACATTTAGCCAACTCCTAATAGACATCTCAAATGGAATTCAAGTCACACCAAATTCTAACAAATCTCCACCTTAACACGAATTTCACTACAAAAAATAAACTTCGCTCTACAAAATCTCTACCTCTTCCAGAAAAGCATCTAAGAGCAAACTTAACAACAAATACCAACTAAATCCAAGTCCTGCTCAAACTTGGTTGCAATCAAAGCATAAGCAACCAAATCAGCCTCATTGTATCTCTGTGGAGACCTTAATATCTCTTTAGAGTCTGTCTTTAGCAATAAAATATTGTGGCAACATTGATTGTAGTGGTAAAGAGGAACTACCCTTACTTCTGAACTAGACTGAGATGTATTCTCTAATCTAGACCCTAAACCAAACTTCAATGGTACTAAAACCAGTCTCAAACTCCACACGAGTGCTTAATTTTTTGCTAATTTGTATTAATATATTTTGTAAAACCTTGCAAGACATATAATTAGGACATTCTCTACCCCTTTATCACAACACGGGAACATTTGCTAACCTCGAGGACTCCATCCTCACAAGTACAATT